ACTATACAAAAGATCGGTTCGCATTGCTTGAAATCCTCAAACATTTTTTAACTTAAAATGAGATATATATTTGGTCGTCGAAAAAAGAAAAAGCGAAGATGCTGAGTGCAAAAAGTGCAAGCAACGCGAACAGACCCAAATTCTCTACTTTGCAAACACAAATTCACTGCTTTAAAAAGAAATTATCTGTTCTAAAACACAAATTCACTGGTTAAAAACAAATTCTCTGCTCTAAAACACAAATTTATTATTTTAAAAACACAAATTCACTGCTTAAAAACAAATTCTCTCGTCTAAAACACAAATTTACTGCTTTAAAAATAAATTTATTGTAAAAACACAAAAGTAATATAAGAAAATAATTTGTGTTTTTGAAGTAGTGAATTTGTACTTGTAAAGTATATTTGTATAATTAAAGCAGAAAATTATTTTTAGAAATTGATGTTGAACACGTGTTTATAGTGCATGCTCATATCGATATACATTTACGCTATTTTCGAACTAAAACACAGAACATTACATTGTATTCCACTGTGTAAGATGTTGAAACGCAATTTAGTTTTATAGTATAACACCAGAATGCATTATAGTCTTCCATTCTTATTCTTATAATTATATTTAGCGTATAAATAATAGATGATTTTTATTCAGACTTAAGTTTAAATAAAAGTTTATGATTTTTATTTAGACTTGAGTTATAATTTTTTCAGAATTGGTGATTCGATTTTATTGCAAAATAAGTACGACTACTAAATAACTTTTTGAAAAGTTGGTTAACATTAGTTGCTTTCCATTTATACACAAGTGAACTGAGTCTGAAGTGAGCTGAGTATTTCATACTCAGATTAATAACGTCATTATTTGCTTACTTTGGTAAAAAGTTATCACATTACAACACAGGTTCATAATCTCATTTTTAAAGTGAGTTTATGAGACTCAGTGAAGCACACAATATGCAATGTTGCAGCAACACTGCTGCAACATTGCATATTGCTGCAAATTCTGTGCCATATAGGAAGCAAAAACTCACCCAGATAGCAAGTTTTCCGCATGTTGCTATAAATTTGATATAAATTGCGTCGCCTGAGTTTTGCCATCTTTTTTGAGCGGTTTCTGATTTTGCTTATGATTGGCAGCAATATATACCATAAACGATTATGCACAACCGGAAGGAAACAATTTCCCTCTTCTTTTTTATAAATTTTATAGGTTAGGACAATGGCACAGCAACATGATGAAAACTAATTCTACATAAAACAAATTTGCTAGCAATTTGACATTAATATAAAGAAACTGTTGTAGTAAAAAGGATTAACCTCTAACAATGCTTTCCTGTTTAAAATCGACTCAAAAGAGAATTTTAAAATATCTTTAAGAGTTCTTTAAGAAACATCTTTAAGATATTTCATAAAGAACTCTGAAAGATATCTTAAAGTGACTTATGAGTTGATTTTAGACATTTTACTCATTTGGTTGACAGATGTAAGTTACTATGAATAAAATTACAATGCAGAACAAAATACACATTAAAGTATTAGGAAATTTCGTTTACTCGGTAAACATTTCAAAGAAAGTATTATACCTTTCATCCTAAAACCGTTGAGGCTCATTTCAAAAAATTATTTTATTAGAACATAGCTGAAAAATCGTCTAATGCTGCGTCTTTTACTCTATTCTATGTTGTTTTTTTAAAATCGAGAAATTTAACTCGATGCATTCCTCTGATGGCGGTACCGCATACTGCTCGACGACACTCCATTTCCATTGACAAAAATGTGGACTAAATATTTTACAAAAACAATTTCCAACAGATTGTAGCAACATTTATGGGAATAAGTTTCTTTCAGCATTTCCGCTCGTTTGCGCAAACAACCGTTGTCTGCATAATGTCTCTAGGGGCCAGTTTCATCAACGCCAGTTAGCTTAATCGACCGTTGATTGACCAATCGCGTTTACTGTTTAGTAGAATCGACCAATTGCGGTTGACAATTAATCACGATTAAGCTTGATCGGCGTTAATAAAACTGGCCCTAGGTTGACCTAAACGAAATTATTATTGCCCTGGCGACAGCAACATGATGGCAATTGAAGAGAAACTTGTGTTAAGCACCTATTTCTTTTCTTATGCCAAGAAACGTTTTGTTATCTGGGCAGTTAAATCTCACTTGTCAGAATGCAAAAAGAACGCACATTCAACTGAGTTATGATGTGGTTACACCACAAGTAAAAATTATGTGAGACTCGGTGCAAATGGAAAGCAACTATTGACATATTTTACACGCTTATACTTAGGTTTTTACAGTGTCGAGCAGTGTAACACCTGTGTCACAGTTGGAACATTTTGTGTAAGACACAGTGGCCAGTATTCATAGTCAGTTCTTATATTCAAGACCGTCTTAGTTCTGTCTTGAGGTATCACGAACCAATCAGAGGGCCATTAGCATCTTAAGACATTACTTAAGACGATCTTGAAATAAGAACTGATTATGAATACCGGCCATAGGCTTAGTTTACATCGTGCACTTGATACGGGTACTAACTAGTAACTTTCTATTGAATGATCTTAATTTCAGCGATACGTTGAAACATATATATATATATATGTGTGTGTGTGTATTTAATTATGATGTATACTGTACCAATTTAGTACATCATTCTTTAAATACATTGCTAAAATTAAAATAATTTAATAGAAAGTTACTAGTTAGTACGTGTATAAGTGTACGATGTAAACTAGACCATAATCAGTTCTTATATTCAAGATCGTTTTAAGTTCAGTCCTGAGGTGTCATGAATCAGAGGGCCGCATTAGCGTCTTAGGACATTACTAAAAATGATCTTGAAATAAGATGGTCAGTATTCATAGTCGATTCTTATTTTAAGATCGTCTTAAGTAATGTCATAAGTCGCTAATGACCTTCTTATTGGTTCATGACATTTTAAGACTGTACTTAAGACTGTCTTAAATATAAGATTCTACTATGAATACCAGCCTATGAATACCGGTCAGTGTTACACTAGCCTAGTTTACATCGTGCACTTGATGTAGGTATTAATTAGTAACTTTCTGCGAAATTATTTTAATTTCAGCGATGTATTCAAAGAACGATATACAGTGAATGCAAAAAGTATTCGTACAGATAAAATGTTTGTTAAAAAACTTTATTTTTAAAAAGTAAATATTATCCTGCGAAAAATGGGTCATCAAACTGATATCGAATCGATGCGATAATTTCAATATCAATTTGACGTCGATTCGACGTTTAAGGAGTTTATAAGGCTGAGGCGGGCAGTGAGAGGGGAATGCTTTAATACAAAAGAAATATGGAGTGTAGCCAACATTTGAACATTAAAATTTGAAGAAATAAATAGCTAAAATTTAAAGAAATATGGATTATAATACAATTAAAATGCAAAAAATATTAATGTTTATTTGTGTAAAAGTTTCAAAAATAAACATATATTTTTTAGAATAAATATTTTTAGCTCAAGAAATGATTTGGCAACGGTGTAAAACTGAAAAATCGAAGTTGGTAACACTGCAAACTGCAATGTCTGACTGCAACGTCTGACGGGTAGATAAGATTAACGTGACTATAAATGTTTTGAAGCGTTCTTTGACAAATCATTTAGTACAATTTTTTTTATGTAATTAGTAAATTAAATGCTTAGAAGCATTTGTAGTGAGACTTTGACGGCACTACTCAACTGATAGAATATTCTTGATTCGCGATGATGAAACAACGTTGCCACATTTTCTCCATCAAACAGTTTCAATGGCAGAAGTATCACATCTTTGGTTATATTTTTTACTATTGTTAATAAACTGAGTGGTAAAAGTTGTTTTAATGTTCAAATATATTTTTAATATGCTATACTTTATATATTAAACATAAATTTATTCGATTCTTAACATTTCAAATATTAATATTTGTTGAAAACAGATACATAGAATCGAGTTTCCTATAAGAGAAAGAGAGATAGTCTATTATAAAATCCAGAATTTTGTTATTAATTTACAGAAAAATGCGCTGGTCAAAAAATCTGAAAAAATTTACATAAAAGCATGCTTTGTAGATAAAGCTATGTTCCAAATTTCAAGCAATTCTTAACATATTGCATTCTCCTTAATTGACGATCATTTGTTGGGTAATTAACAATTTATTCATAAAGAATAAAATAGACTGTATGTTTCTCAAAATTATATATAGCAAAAAGATGTATATTAATTATAGAAAATATATCATCTGAAAAATTAGCGAAAATTAAAAATTGTGTTGCTTGGATGCTCAAAAAGTATTCGAGAAATTTAGCTTCTAAAATCATGAATACATGCGAAGCTCGTTTGTTTGGTTAGAACAGAATGTATTCATCGTATAAAATTGCTAATTAATGTTTATTTTTTACAAATAAGACTTTTTATAAAAAATTTCCTTGTACGAATACTTTTTGCTCTCACTGTATATAAATTGATACAATATGCATCAGAATGATTAAATACACATATCATGTATATGTTTACATATATCGCCGAAATTAAGATAATTTAATAGAACGTTACTAATTAGTACCCGTGCACGATGTAAACTAAGCCTGTGTTATCTGTATACGTTGTTGGAAAATACCCTTAGTCAGTATGACAGATTTCCTAACCTTAATGGTCGTCAAACTTAACGCTCAATATCTCGGTTCGCGAAGCAGAGCGACGCTTATTTCTATCAGATTCTTTTGTTTCATACAAAAACGCATCGAATAAGCCTAATTTTATTGATGTTTGAGTTGCACAAGCTAAACTGTATAATTACGAAAATGGTAAACTCGATTAACACGTTCGGAGAAACAATTTCACAGGTGAAATATTTCAACAAATACTACTGATAAGCGCATCTCGCATTAATTTAAATCGTATGTACAGAAATAATTGAGAATGTTGAGAATGTACGAGTTTAGATAACATGTAGTTCAATCAAGATAGAAATTGCTGTTGTTGAAACACTCACGTCATGGACCGTCTCGAGACTTTTAATCGCGCCTACGATCTTTTGATGATCCTCTTGAAGTATATCTGCCAAATATAACGAATTCGTTTCGTCATGTGTATCCAGATATTCTAAAATTCGATCCGCCAAATGACTTGCCATCTTACACCGCTAACGTATCTTGTCTTTCTTCTTCTTGGTTCACTTGGCTTTCAGGAATTAAGGCCTAAACACAATGCCAGGCAATAGCGATAGGGTGCTTTCCAGCAAGGGACACAGTCAAACACAGTGTAATAGTGGGTGCTTTCCAGCAAGGGACACAGTGTAACACAGTGAATCATACGTCCTTGTTGTTTGCTTACGTTAAACAAGGATGAAACGATTCACTGTGTTACACTGTGTTTGATTGTGTCCTTGCTGGAAAGCACCCATAGTATAGCGATAGGAATAATATAGAAATAAGAGATACATAAACTATCACCTCCCGTTGCACAATGCGGCGAAAGAAATAAAGGCCAACCAATCAGATCGCGTACATACTGTAGTATGCTCTTCTGCTTCAGTAGACGTAACCTAAAAATGTTAAATCATTACAGGACACGGGTCACCAATCACTAAATTTCTAAGGACACGGGTCACCAATCACTAATAGCGTTTTTGATTGGGGTGCACTGGCTGCACTCAGTGTCAAGAGCGTGTTCGATTGCCAATGCGCACTTGGCTAGTGTCACGTGTTCATTTGATCGCACGACACTCCCGTAGTGCGCACTCAGTGCGCACTAAGTGGCACGAGATATTTTGACGGTGCCAGTTCAGTGCACGTTTTATCACAGTTAAGGATATACATAGGGACAAGCAAATCTGCGCAGTTGAATTGAAAACGGGGTCTTGTCCCTACTCTTATGCCCATTTCTACCAATATAGATTAATTTTAATCTCGGTTCAACTTACTCTTCGTCTTTTTCTAATCTTTAGAACTAGAAAAAGACAAAGATTAAGTTGAACCGAGATTAAAGTTGATCTGCGTTGGTGGAAACGGACCTTAATATCTTTTACTGTGGTTTTGTAACATTTTGTTGAACATTGCTTCAAAGTGAACAAAAATGAGTTTCAGCTTTAGCACTGAAAATCTTGGCGTATTCTTTTGAACTTGCACTATTCAGTGCAACCTATGGAACTCATCCAGTGTTGGTGTGAACTGAGTGCGCACTGGTGCGCACTAACTTTTGCCCAATCGAAAACTATAAATTTCTTTAAGGACAAAAATTTTTCAATAAAGTATTTTTTAAACAGATTTTCATCAAAAAATATTGGTAAATATATTTTATAATGGGTAAAGGTAAAGTTCAGGGTGATCACC